AAAAAAAAAAGAAATCAGCTGTGTCTCCATGGGAGCCCAAACAGTTGATCAGTTGTTTCTGGCTTTTTAAAACTGGAACAGGTGGAATAAAGAGGGAGATCCCAAATTTTACATGACTGCAGGGCCACATGGTCATGGGAAAATCCACTTTTTTCACCCAGAACCAGGATAATGGAGGACCTTTTTGAATTGGGTTTTCCCTCCATTGCTGCGGTTGAGTGCTCATTTAGCACAAATGTCATCTGGTCACCTCCCTTTTTACTCGTTCTCTCCTGAATTATAGGTACTGTGTGGAAGCGCCCTACAATGCCTTTTCAAATGCTGAAGGATTCATTTTTTATGAGCCGGAGAAGGGGGTGTCTCTATCACAGTAATCTTCCCCAACTTGGTGTCTTTTCCAACATGCTGAACTAAAATTCTCAGCATCCATGGCCACCATGGCCAATGGGATTTGGAAGCCACAGATCTGGAGTGATGCAAGTTGGAGTGAATATGTGGAAATTGGTGCAACATTGAGGAGAAGCTTCATGCATATTCAAAGGTGGAATTGAGACATCAGATGATATTCTTGGGCCAGCTAGCTTTTCTTTTTTATTTTAACCAATATTTGTGGCTGGTTTTCTGAGGCAACCCTTGTTCCAACTTCATCAAGGAGGTCTCTCAACTAACCATTTAAGTAGAGATTGATATGTTATGCATAACAAGAACTCTTACCTTGCAGGCATCTCTCCTGCCCTCTGGGTAGCCAGCACAGATCATATCATCCTGGATTATCCTTGGGTTCAGGCCATCACCCATATTTTTGCGATAGAGCGCAGAACACCTCTTTGAGTCTATGATGGGCACCTTCACCTTCTGGAGGGTTTGTGGGGAGGGAAGGTTGACTGCAATGACAACATTGCACATAACTGAAACTCTTCTTTCTAGAATCCAACCACTAAGGCTCCCTTCCACTTGCTGTGTGTCATGCCTCCCCCTCACACATAGGTCCTTTCCCTTGCATTTGTCCCCACCAGTATTATTTTCCTCTTTTTTTCACATGCATACCTGAATGACGCAAGTTGCCCCAGCCAGTGACCCAACACACTTTGCCTGGAGGGAATTTCAATGAGGCATCAGGTAGACAGATGGGGAGGATCAAGTAGGAATACTGAACCTTCCTGGAAAGCTGCACAAGAGCAATGTCGCCACTGGTGGTATGGCCAGCATACATGGGGTGGACGATGACCTGCTGCACTCCAAGGCAACATGCCTCTGGGCCAGGATTGGACAACTGAGTGACTCCCAGCAGGACTTGGTACTGGGAGAGATCCCTGAATCTGAAAACATGACAGAAAGAGTGGGGCAGGGAAGAGGAGCCATATCATATGAGCTTCAAGCATCTGAATCTCTCTCTATGTTGGACACTGGTCTTGGAAACTGCCTGGGGGAGGAAATCCCCTAGGTAGAGGTGGGAGGAAATCAATATAGAAAGATGGACAGTTGCTTTATATCAAATTATGAATATTTATTAGTTTATCCCAGTGCAAGGTTGGCTTTATCTTCAGACAAGATAAGGAGGCTGCAGGTTTTAGGCTGCAGGACAGATTTGAGGGTAGGGAGTACTGTAGGAGAAATTGCTTTCCTTTTGCTACCTATGGCAGTTTGCTACCCTCTGGTACAGTGGAGGTCAGGCATGTAGCCGGGGGGGGGGGGGGGGGGGGGCTCGGGGGGCTTCAGCCCCCCCCCCGAAATTCTCATGGTGGTTTGCGAAAAGGCCTTACTGGTGCATTACTTAAACTGTTATGTTTATTCATATCATGATCTGATCACCATACTCAATATATCCCCTATGCATGGGGGTATTGGGGTAATGATACAAAAGGTTTGCTAGGGTAGACCCTCTTTCACTCAGACTCAGCCCCCCCGAAACTCAGCCCCCCCGAACCCCCCCCCCCTGAAAAAAATTCACCCCCCCCCCAAACGAAATCCTTGCTACGGGCCAGGTGGAGGTAGTCTTATTACATGTATATTTGCACTTTAGAAGTAATGCAATTTGACACCACTTTAACTGCCACAGTTCCATGGTTATAGAATCCTGAGAATTGTAATTTCACACGGTCTTTAGCCTTTTCTGTCAAAGAGTGCTGGTGCCTCACTAGCCTACAAAGCCCAGGGTTCCATACAGTGAGCTATGGCCATTAAGATGGTGTCAAACTGCATTTAAGGTAGTGTCAAATTGCATTATTTCTACAATGTAGTCGCATCCTAAAAACTTGGAAGCCTTAGCATGTAAACATGGTGTGGGAAAGGAGTACCATTTTGACCTCCACCTCATTCAGGTAAAGCCTACAGTCTCTCTTCACTTTTGATACTTCACTTTTGAAGTCTGTCTTCATTTGATAATTTGCAAATGTTCCTTCAAGTCTGTTTCTGTCATTATTTTCTAGTTAAGGATAATATTTGCAAGATCTGTTCCTGGTCAATAAATAGGTGAGCACGGATGAATATCTGTGCAGAGTCTAATGGACTGTGTGTATACCTGGAGAAAGGACAGTATATTTTTGTGCATGGTTAATTTGTTAATGTTGCAATTTTGTAAGCCGCCCTGGGGGTATTGCCAAGGGGTGGTGACAACTAAGGAATAAATGAATACTCACAGCGATTGTGACCAGATCGACTCATGCCAATTACTAGATGTTTCTGACTAGATAAGTCAGTGGTTCTCAAGCTGTGGGTCCCCAGATGTTTTGGCCTTCAGCTCCCAGAAATCCTAACAGCTTGTAAGCTGACTGGGATTTCTGGGAGTTGTAGACCAAAACATTCGGGGACCCACTGGTTGAGAACTACTGCAATAAGTTGTAGTTGCAAATCAGACACTAGTTTTATGAAAGGGGAATCATATGTATTTATTTCTTGTCATGTTTTTAAAACAAGGCAAATCTTGAGCTGATGAATGGTAGGCACCAAAGATATTATTTCCCCAAGATGTCCAACCAGATGATAAGGTGAGGAAGATTCTGATACCTGAATAATAGTATAGCAGCCCAGAGTTCCCATTCCAACTTCTATACTCACTGATAAAAACAGTGGGCTGCAGTTATCACCCAGTCTTCTGAAATGAGAGAGCCTCCACAGACATGTCTTTGGTTGAGCTGCAAACTGATCTGCCAGGGAAACTCGCCTGGCACAGCATCCTTTCCCTTCACAATCCGGTTCAGGCTGACAGGGGGCTGACCACAGGCTGTAACAATAAGCTGAAGTTCATTCAGACTGATTTATGAGGAGCAGGATGCGACACATTGAAGCTCACCTGAATATTAGAAAAAACTTCCTAATTTTCAACAGTAGAATATACTGCCTTAAAGTGGACTCTCTTTCTCTGGAGATTTTCAAACAGAGGCTGGATGGCCATCTGTCAGGAGTAAAAATTCCTGGGTAGAAATGAAGACAGAGCCTTACGTTCTCAGACAAATACCCTGGATTTGGGGTAGAAAGAGGATTCACCCTTTGACACAGAACAATGCATTGAACTAGCGCAAAAACTGCATGAGAGGAGAAGTAAAGAAAGAGGAGAGATCTCTAATGTGACTAGGGATTTGATCACATTGAGGCAGGAAAGTGTCTGGCAGAGAAGAGCTCAGTCTTACTTCATTTTGTAATGAAACAGATGTTTTCCCTGCCTTCATCACACTGTTACATTTCTCAGTTTTCTTTCCAGATTCTTTCACTGCAGTTGCTTTCACACTGTATAGATTTGGCCCCACCCACCATCTCTCTCCCCGCTCATTGTTGGGAAAAAAAACCCTGTCTTTGAAAAAAAAGTGAGATTCCTGATGAGATCTGAGAAGTTGTGAGCATGCTCGGTCTGTCCAAACACTACATTCAGCCAAAGGAAGGAACCTGAGAGCAAAGACTGCCATCACATTACAGATTTGGCAAAACATCTGGATCATTTCAAATAATCCACTTCAACACTACCTCCAGAAATGTTGGAAAAGAATGCTGGCCTCCAGGCTTAAAATATGCAAAGAATGCTGTACCCTATGCTTGAAAGAAAACTAATGTGCTGAACACAGTGAGTTACCATATTTAAACTGCAGGACTCAGTGGAATTTAACTAATGTGATGAAGTGGTATTTGTTCTCATTCCTAGTAGAGAGATGGTTTTGCTTTCTGGGAAAAGTACACTCACCTCTGTTTGCCTGGATCTCCTGTATTCCTGCAACACAAAATAAAGAAAAGGAGATGCTTGTGATAAAACTGAGGCTGTCGTACTTTGGGCATATTGTGAAATCTCACTTGAAAAAACAATGATGCTCAGTGATATTGAAGGCAGTGGCAAAAAAACAAAAAAGAATACCACATTACAAATGGATTGAGTCAGTGAGGGAAATCCATTAACCTATATCTGCAAGACTTGGGCAAGGTTGTAAATAACAGGAACTTTTGAGAATCTCATTATGGCACACTATAAGCTGAAGTCAACTTGATGGTAGATAATAACAACACCCAGAAACCCAATGAATTTCACCAGACTTCTCGCCGCTTCTCTCCACTGCCAGAAGGGAATTCCACGAAGCCCATCACATGATGCAGGGCTACTTCTGTCGGGACTCCATGGCACTCTGGTAGGGCAGAGGAGAGAAAAAGAGCCCACCCAACTCTTCATTGAAAAAGGCAAAGAGAAAGTGGGGAAAGATGGAGAAACACCATGGGAGCCTGTAGTGGGGCAATGGGTTAAAGCCTTGTGCCGGCAGGACTTTCATGACCGTATCTCCTTCCATGAACCAGCCCGATCTCTTCGATCTTCGGAGGGGCTCTCCTTTCGCCCCTGCCGCTATCCCAGGCTCGCCTTGTGGGAACAAGGGAGAGAGTCTTCTCCACTGTGGCCCCCCAACTTTTGAACTCATTGCCCGGCAAGCCCCCTCCTTAGAAACCTTTAAGAAGGACCTTAAAACCTGGCTCTTTCACTGCGCCTTCGGAGAGTAACCACACAACTAGATATTGCTGCTCCCCCTCGACGTTTATTCCTACAGTACACTTCCCACGCTTGTATGAAGGCCTGTTTCTACACCCCCATTTTTATGTGCTCTCCCTTACAAATAAGTTGCTCCATTCCTATCTCACCCTGAGCTTTTAGTATTTTATCCTGTACATGTGGCCTGCTTATTTTCACTGTGATTGTGAAGGACTTTTACTGTATTGTATATTGTTTACTGTATTCTTATGTTTTATGTATTTTATTGTGTTGTTGTTTTATGTCTTGGTTTTATTTTATTTTATTGTAATGTGTTGTTGGGCTTGACCTCATGTGAGCCGCCCCGAGTCCCCGTTGGGGAGATGGTGGTGGGGTATAAATAAAGATTATTATTATTATTATTATTATTATTATTATTATTATTATTTGTTACTTTGAAGGTTGGGTTGCTGACCTGAAGGTAGCCAGTTCAACTCCGGGGAGAGCACAGATGAGCTTCCTCTGTCAGCTCCAGCTCTCTATGTGGGGACATGAGAGAAGCCTCCCACAAGAATGGTAAAAAAAACACCTGGGCGTCCCCTGGGCAACGTCCTTGCAGACGGCCAATTCTCTCACACCAGAAACAACTTGAAGTTTTTCAAATAGTTCCTGATATGAAAAAAAAACATGGGAAGAAAGATGACTGGAGGAAGCAGCTTAACGAGTTTATTCGATGCTTAGACCACAGGTCTTTCACATATAAGGCAAACAAATAAATACATGAAAATCAGATTATTAAATACAATATAAAATACACCATTAAAATCCTATAAATTAAAATGCTACATATATCAATTATGAGATGCATGCTTAAAATACTACATACTGCATGGACTAGCACCTGTGTAATTAAAAACCAGGTGAAACCAAATAAATACAGCATTATTAAAACTTTAGCAGGGAACACCTTAAATATAAGCAGCCAGTATTAGTTAAAAGCATCCCCAGCACAGTTGACTGCGAGATCAGAAATTAGTCTTGCCCGGATTTTCTGGGGCTGCCAGAGCTTAACAGTTTCCTCCACTGTTCCACACTTTCTCCCGCTGTCCCCTGCTTTACCCCTGCCTGTCTGATAAGGTCAGAAGTTAAATGTTCTAAACAAACATTCTCTCAATATTCATTATTCCAGACATTTTGTCACTCCAAACAAAGGAGCAGCCAATACATATGGCCATTCCAGATGGTTCAAATTTGAAACAGATTGCCATTTTCTATTTTAAAATTAATTTGATAGAAATGTGAGCCATGCAAACATCAACAAAAAGAAATTCAACTTGATGCAATATAAGAAGCTTAGTCATCTGAAGTTCAGAGCTGTGTGCTTTTGGGACGGATGATTTGATGAACCCCGTTTCCATTCTTAATTAAAATTGTCATCTCCGTTGTGTCTCTTGCTTTGCTTTTAATTGAGAGTGGAGATAACAATTAAAATATTAAGGTCAAAGAATCAGAATGGTTATATTGTATATGGTTGTCTGAGAAGGAGCAGCTAAGCTATACTCAAGCCATACCTATCTCTTCTTCCAAACAACCCACATAAATCCACTGCCTTTCTGTCGCCAGTCACAGCAGGGAAACAATAGCCTGGTGTTTGCCATAATTCCTCACTGTCTGGATCAAATACCTCTCCTTCTTCACCCTGATCAGAACAGCGTGTCCTTCTAATACTGTGACATTAACATTTCAGATCCAGACAAAGGCCGGTGCTCCAAAGACAATCTTGCTCTTAAAAACTAATTTAGCAAAGCCATAATTTACTTTTCCCCACCTACCTGACAACACCCAGAAACCCAATTATAACATCATCAAAATCAACTAAAGAAACTATTACGGCGCCTCTTTCACCAGTATTAATGACCCTTCCTTGCTGGCATTTCTCTGGTGTAGACATGTTAAGATGATATCACTTGTTTGTTCTAATATTTTAAAAAGTTAAAAAGAAAAACAACAAACTCTCAGAGCCACAAATTCTCCTTTAGGCTTTGAGTTCCTCTGAAAACAGAAGGTGACAGGACCTCTTAACCGACTAAATTCAGGATGGCATTTATCCTATTTGGTTCTCCATGTCTTTAGTCAGGGACTGGAAAAAGTTGTTGCTAAATATGGAAATATGAACTATACAATTCCTAGAAATCCCTCATCAGTTTAGGTTGAAGTTCTGGAATCCTCCAGTTAGCATATACTTGCTGGAGATTTATAGTCCAAACAGATTTTTTTTTCTACTGTAGATCTGTTGGAGATCTTGTTGAGTAAAGATTTCTTATGGGGCATTAAAAATAAGTAAAAAAAATGATGCCATCATGCTGACACCACATATCACAAGGGACGGACATTATCTCTTACCACCAAAGATAGTCACTAAACATGGCAGCTAGAGTTTAACCTAATGATGAGAAAAATCCTGGACTGACAAGAAATTTCATAGGGCCGTTCCACACAGCCCTGTATCCCAGACTATCAAGGCAGAAAACCCCACAATATCTGCTTTGAACTGAGTTATCTGAGTCCACACTCAGTTAATGTGCCTTGATAGTCTGGGATATAGGGCTGTCTGGAAGAACACCAAATGAATGAAGGATTATTCTGCACAAAATTCACAAAATTCTATCCCTTGTATAAAAACAGTGATTTTTTTTAATACAAGGGAAAGAATTTTCTGCACAGAATATTCTTTTTTGCACAACAAATGCTATTGCCAACAGAGACATTGCTATTCTTTGTGCTAAACACACATGACCAAATTTGGCTAGGAAATCTTTGAGCGCTGCTATTCCCAGTGCAATTCCACAGCACTGAACCATGGCAGATAAAGGGGTGTCAAACCTCATTTATTCTACAGTGTACATGCACCATTAGTGAAGAATTGGACCTCTAGTAGCCATATGCTTTGTTTAGAACTATGATTCCTGTCTTCAGGAATTCCTTTCTACAACTATGTATCAGCTGTGAGTATGTCAACCATAGCAACAATTGACCTTTCAAAAAATCTAAAAGGTATATTGAAAGGATAATTTCATAGGATACAACAGCCAGGCATTGTGTCCACCATTGTCGATCTTCTCACAAAGAACCAAGGAATCCATAGATTTGTACTGAAGTCAAACATTCAAAAGGTCATTCATCCTAAACTATTTTTGAAAAGCCATTAAGTCAACTGGTCTTCCCAACAAGGTTGGACAGTGAATTTCACAGGTTGATTAGGCTTTGTGAGGCAAAATTATATTGTCAAAGCAAAATCCTTGTGGCACCAAAAAGACTAGCAGGTTTTACTTGGCTTCAGCTTTTCTAGACTGCAGCCCAGATCATAAGCTGCATGTACATTCCCCATGTACTTACCTCAAGCCTTGCCAACATGATATTTAGATCAGCATTATTACTACTGCCTTAATTCTTCCTCCCACAACACTCTAGTGCTGTGTAGATCTTTTGCTCATGTTCTGGCATAGTTATGTGTCAAACACAGAATGCCAACTCTTTTGGAAAGAGGAACAATGGCTTCAAACTACAAGAAAGGAGATTCCATCTGAACATTCGGAAGAACTTCCTGACTGTGAGAGCCGTTCAGCAATGGAACTCTCTGCCCTGGGGTGTGGTGGAGGCTCCTTCTTTGGAAGCTTTTAAACAGAGGCTAGATGGCCATCTGTCAGGGGTGATTTCAATGCAATATTCCTGCTTCTTGGCAGAGGGTTGGACTGGATGGCCTATGAGGTCTCTTCCAACTTTTTGATTCTATGATTCTAAGGTGTCTCCAGTACAATGCACAACTATACAATTCAGTAGTGGAATATGTGCTGCTAATGCAGCATGCAGACAGCCAATGAAAACAAGGGAAAATGAACAAGACTCAGATATTTCAATTTCATAGGTATTTCTATTTTCTTTCATATGACTACATAATGATATGTAATATTTCAATCCCTCTGCCACTTCTTAGCAACTCCCCTTTTTTGAAGGTCAGGAGCGCATATACCACAGTTTGTCTTTTACCCTTGAATCTATCTTTGATCCTCCAAATGTTTGAACTTCAACTCCTAGAAACCTCCACCATCCTAGTTAAAGATGGTGGATTCTGGAAGCTGAAGTCTAAAACATTTTGGAGGAACAAAGTTTGAAACCCATGAACTAAACAGATGCAGTAGAGAACACCATCCAATCACCAATGTAGCAATATTCCTGTGCCAGCCCAGTATACTTCCACATAC